ATATATATATATATATATATATATATATATATATATATATATATATATATATATATATATATATATATATATATATATATATATATATATATATATATATATATATATATATATATATATATATATATATATATATATATATATATATATATATATATATATATATATATATATATATGTGTGTGTGTGTGTGTGTGTGTGTGTTTATATTCTCCACCATTCATTTAACGAATCATCTCTACTATACACAGAACAGAAATCAATTCCGGTGTTTATATATCTTTATATATATATATATATATATATATATATATATATATATATATATATATATATAGTCATTTAGACATGTATATATGTACAAAACAAATTAATTAAGCTTAATAAAATAGCCACTGCTCATAAATCTTTAAGCCTTTATGCACGGTTGTTCACTAAACTCTGACCCCAGGGCTTTTTGCTCAGACAACTTCAGGCGAGAATCGATTATGCCTTAAATTATCCTCTAAGTGCCGAAGAATATTCACAATTTGAATTAACTCCATGTCAAATCTCCTTAAAGAAATTTGCAAATTGCTTTCTTCATAATTCGCTTTTGAAATGAATTTATTTTTCGCATTAATCAATCGCATTTCACTGACTCCTCAACCACCAGACAATCCTCAAATGAATCGCATATTTTAATAAATGAAGAGGCTTTCTAAAACTGACATTTAATGAAAGACATATCATCATAAAACATCCAATTTTAATAGACAGAAATATTGATATGGGCAATATTACAACTAAAAATCTCAGTTCTTCAACTTTGCTCCCATGAGATAAGCTTCTATTCCGATGCCCAAGTAAGAATTTTTTTTTACTTGAATTGGTGTTTACCATATATGAGTATCACGAGGCTGTTGAAGATCTATTTTTTTTTGTAACGCACGGTGGCCGTTAATAATTTAGTATAACTCAAGACTTCAATAAATATATAAAGAGAATTGATGAGAGGGAGAGAGGGGAAAAGAGAGATAGATAGATAGATAGATAGATAGATAGATAGATAGATAGAGTATGCAAAGAATAATAGATATGAAAATAACTACATAGATAGATAGATGTGAATACACTGACAAAAAGACGCAGATGATCTTCTATATAATTATATATAGATATGAGCAGACATATACAACAGACTGAGACAGGAATAGATAGGTAGTTTGGTAGGTAGGAATCTATATAGGTGGATATGAGAAGAATGACGCACAGATATATGGTTATAAATAGACAGATAGATATGAATATATATATATATATATATATATATATATATATATATATATATATATATATATAGAGAGAGAGAGAGAGAGAGAGAGAAAGAGAGGAGAGAGATATTAATATACTGAAATAGATAGATATTAACATATTGAGATAGTCATATATTAACATATTGAGATAGATAGATAGATAGATAGATAGATAGATAGATAGATAGATAGATATTAACATACTGAGATAGATAAATATTAACATACTGAGATAGATAGATAGATAGATAGATAGATAGATAGATAGATAGATATTAACATACTGGGATAGATAAATATTAACATACTGAGATAGATAGATAGATAGATAGATAGATAGATAGATAGATAGATAGATATTAACATATTGAGATAGATATTAACATATTGAGATAGATAGATAGATAGATAGATAGATAGATAGATAGATAGATATTAACATACTGGGATAGATAATTATTAACATACTGAGATAGATAGATAGATAGATAGATAGATAGATAGATAGATAGATATTAACATACTGAGATAGATAAATATTAACATACTGAGATAGATAGATAGATAGATAGATAGATAGATAGATAGATAGATAGATATTAACATACTGAGATAGATAGGTAGATAGATAGTTTTTGACGTACGGTGGCCGTTAATAATTAAGTATAACTCAAGACTTCCGTGTTAAAATAAAACAGTATTTAATTACAACCGTAAATAAATACTTTACAACAACAAAGAAGTAAAAATCAACCAAAAATGATTAATCATATCAGTGAATACCTTGTTATTAGCGCGGCTCTGCTTAACGTCCGGTAATTCCTAGATCAAAACCCAAATCATCGATGCATAATAATTCACACTAATTCAACTGGATACTTCCACTCAATAATCACCCCAGTCAGTAGCCTGACGCCGTTATTTATACACCTGGCGGAAAAAACCCCTAAAAAACAACATATATTCATAACTCCAGACTGTCACGCTTGAACATCCGTGTAGGTAGTTACTGATTTTTCCAATATGAAAAATTTTGAAGTTAATTTTAATAGCGTCGCATCATACACTAGATATAAATCTAGCGTATGTGCTTCTGTCCCTCGCTACAGCGTTGACCAAACTATGTATGCATTTGCTGTAGTCTAACTAACTTCAAAATCAGGTCCTCAAAGGTCACATGATTCGCGAGTATATACGGTAAATATTTCTGTTTGTAAAAAGTAAATATCAGGTATGTTCGACATACGAGCACCGGAAATGAAGAAATGAGAAGTTAAAGAGATTGATCCTCACAGGGTGCGCCATAGATTATTCACTATTAAGAAACCCATGGTTGAATTCTCGTATAACCAACCAAATATAATAAATAAAAAAGAATTATTCCAATAGATTTATACGTTTGAATTTCTTTAGCACGTAATCGCATGTGTGTTTGAATATTGTTAGTTGGGATGAGACCGCTTGGGAATACGTACTGTAGGCTTGGATACGCGGGTGGTGTAATGCCAACGGCTCGGAATTGTTAATCGGAGAGACAGGATCAAGTTAATTTTATCATACAGTAGATATTAAATTAGCGTATGTACTGCTGTCCCTACACGCCGTTGACCAAACTATATATCCATTTACTTTAGTCAAAAATACGTCCTCAAAGGTCACATGGTACGCGAGTATATACGGTAAATATTTCTGGTTGAAAAAAGTAAATATCAGATATGTACGTCAGGTGATCACCGGAAATGAAGAAGTGGTAAGTTACGGATGTATTTGGGGGAAGAACACTTGAGTGATATATATGGAGAGAGAGGGGAGATCACCGCCCTCTGTGGGATCAAGTTGAGATCATAGACAAGGAACACCATTGGAAAATTCATAAACTTAAGAAATCAGCACATATGCTAGGCCACAAAAATCTCCTGAGCCGACCAAGCATAGAAATATATACAATATGGGAACCAGTAATAAGGAGTGCCAGAGAAAAGCAATGATAAGAAAGTTGAAATATGAGCTCTGGTAAAAACATGCAATGATAACAGCAAATTTGCAATATGAGCACTGGTAAAAATGGTTGTTGAAGACATTAGGTTTATAATACCCAGAAATTCATACACAGATGTCCTCAAGGATACATGGCACAGTGGATAAAGGCTTTAGTTAGATCCAGTGACAGGACCCAAAGTGTTGAGAGTTAGGGCAATGGAGAACTTGGAGAGGGGAATTAACAGAAGATAACTGATAACTGACATCCATTAAACATGACACGTGGAACTAGAATAGTCTACCCCAGTGAGCGACATTCCAACCACCTGTAGAAGGCCGGAGTGTACAACAGCCGAAACGTTGTAATAAATATGGCGACAAAGATGAAGACAATAGTCTGAATAATGTAAATAAAGTACATAGTACCTCATCTCAGAAATATAGACAGATCCTGAAAGGCCGAAACGTTGTAATAAATATGGCGACAAAGACGAGGACAATAGTCCGAATAATGTAAATAATGTACATAATACCTCATCTCAGAAATATAGACAGATACTGAACGGCCGAAACGTTGTAATAAATATGGCGACAAAGATGAGGAATAATAGTCCGAATAATGTAAATAATGTACATAATACCTCATCTCAGAAATATAGACAGATATTGAAAGACCGAAACGTTGTAATAAATATGGCGACAAAGACGAGGACAATAGTCCGAATAATGTAAATAATGTACATAATACCTCATCTCAGAAATATAGACAGATACTGAAGGGCCAAAACGTTGGAATAAATATGGCGACAAAGATGAGGACAATAGTCCGAATAATGTAAATAAAGTACATAATACCTCATCTCAGAAATATAGATCGATAAATCTCGTTTATAACATAGTACAGATATGACGTTATATGTTTAGCTTCAATTAGAGTACACACCAGACATGTATATCCGTACTTCAGTTTACACTCTGCTGAAGATTGGGATTGAAATCTATATAGTGTTGCTCGTGGATCCTGTACTATCTGTTTGTATATAAAGATATATTATTTTGTAAGAACTGGGGTTCGCTATTAAAGATATTTTCTGGTTTCTTTATCTTTGTTTTTGTTCTCAATAGATTACTAATTTATGCAACATGCAACCAAAAACATGGACATTCAAAAAAACTAATATTTATTATACACTTTCCGCCCGAGGGTCTATGGTTTCCCCACCCTTGATTTAAAAGATGATTATATAAAAATAACGGAAACTGACGTCACAAATTTGAGTGATATATATTTTTATGGCTTATCAACCTTTTGCATGTTATTTAAAGCCAGAAAAATATTTTTACATCGTAAGAGTTTTTTGGGAGAATATAATGATTTACTGATACATATCTTAATAATTTAATCCCTAGATTCCTGAAGTGTATTTGGGCGTAAATGAAAATTGGAACACGTCTCTCTGATGTCAATTCCATGCCCTTATCCATTATATCCCCAGCATATCCAAACTTAAAGCAACTGCCATTCTTATACGGTCACTCATTTAGTTACTGACAAGGCTCGGAGTTGCTTAACTCCGAAAACCGGTGTTACAACGTGAGAGTAATAGGGCGAGGAAAAGTGAATTCATACCTCTTCAAAGAATACCAATTCTCCTGGAATGGTTACCCGGATCTTCGAATTCCAACATCGAGCTTTTACCCATTATACCACGCGCAATTCCAAGCGTACAGCGCCTGGTATTCCTAAGCAGTCACCCATCTACGTACTGACCAGGCTCGACGTTGCTTAACGTTAGTGATCATACGAGAACCGGTGTTTCAATATGATATGGCCGTAAAATATACCACATCCAAGCGTACACCACCCGATATTCCCAAGCGGTTACCCATCTAGGTACTGGCCAGTCTCGATGTTGCTTAACTTTAGTGGTCGTACGAGAACCGGTGTTTTAATATATGACCGTAAAACATACCAAACGCACATCCAGGCGTACAGCCCCTGCTACTCCCAAGCTATCACCCATCTAGGTACTGACCAGGTTCGACGTTGCTTAACTTTAGTGGTCCTACGAGAACTAGTGTTTCAATATGTTATGGCCGTAAAACAGACCATCCGCACAACCAGACGTACAGCACCTGGTATTGCCAAGCGGTCACCCATCTAGGTACTGACCAAGCTAGACGTTACTTAACTATAGTGGTCGTATCAGAACCGGTGTTTAAATATGATATGGCCGTAAAACAGACCATCCGCACAACCAGACGTACAGCACCTGGTATTGCCAAGCGGTCACCCATCTCGGTACTGACCAAGCTAGACGTTACTTAACTATAGTGGTCGTATCAGAACCGGTGTTTAAATATGATATGGCCGTAAAATATACCAGCCGCACATCCAGGCGTACAGTACCTGGTATTGCCAAGCGGTCACCCATCTACGTACTGACCAGGCTCGATGTTGCTGAACTTTAGTGGTCGTACGAGAACCAATGTTTCAATATGATATGGCCGTAAAATATACCAGTCGCACATCCAGACGTACAGCACCTAGTATTGCCAAGCGGTCACCCATCTAAGTACTGACCAGTCTAGACGTTGCTTAACTTTAGTAGTCCTACCAGCACCGGTGTTTCTATATGATATGCCCGTAACATATACCAGCCGCACATCCAGACGTGCAGCACCTTGTATTGCCAAGCGGTCACCCGTCTAGGTACTGACCAAGCTAGACGTTGCTTAACTTTAGTGGTCGTATCAGAACCGGTGTTTAAATATGATATGGCCGTAAAATATACCAGCCGCACATCCAGGCGTACAGTACCTGGTATTGCCAAGCGGTAACCCATCTACGTACTGACCTGGCTCGACGTTGCTTAACTTTAGTGGTCGTACGAGAACCAATGTTTCAATATGATATGCCCGTAGAATATAGCGATCGCACATCCAGACGTACAGCACCTAGTATTGCCAAGCGGTCACCCATCCAGATACTAACCAGATTAGACGTTGCTTAACTTTAGTGGTCGTACGAGAACCAATGTTTCAATATGATATGTCCGTAAAATATACCACCCGCACATCAAGGCGTACAGCACCTGGTATTGCCAAGCGGTTACCCATCTAGGTACTGACCAGGTTAGAGGTTGCTTAACTTTAGTGGTTCTAAGAGAACCGGTGTTTCAATACGATATGGCGGTAAAACATACCGCCCGCACATTCAGGCGTACACCACCTGATATTCCCAAGCGGTCACCCATCTAGGTACTGACCAGGCTCGACGTTGCTTAACTTTAGTGTTCCTACGAGAACCGGTGTTTCAAAAAGATATGGTCGTAAAATATACCAGCAGCACATCCAGGCTTATGGAACCTGGTATTGTGAATGCTGTCACCCATCTAGGTACTGACCAGGCTAGACGTTGCTTAACTTCAGTGGTCGTATCGGAACCGGTGTTCCAATATAATATGGCCGTAAAACATACCAGCCGCACATACATACCGAATCCCACTGGAATAGGAACTCGTCTCTTCGATTTCCAAAACCGACTTGTTATCCATTATACCACCGGAAGATCCAAGCTTACCATACCCAGTATTCCCAAGCTGTCACTCATCTTGGTGCTAACAAGGCTCGACGTTTATTAATATCCGTGATCGTGCGATAATCCTTTTTTTTTCAGCGTGATAGAGACACCCCATAATCGAATATAGTGATTAACTTACCAAAATAGTTTTGGGTAAATAACAATATTATTTAATACAAATACCCGGAACCCAACAGCAAGAATTTAAAACCAGAATCAAGAATGGAGTCGTAAAAAAACGAACGAAAATAAGTTTAGTAAAAAGTGAAAGACAATACAACATGGAGAATCTAAGAGACAAATAAAAAAAAAAAAATGATAACACGTTTGTAGGGATACAGAAGACAATTATCTTCCATTCGTGAAAATAGGTCACGTGAGTCAGTTGATGGATCGCTTAGTAACGAAAGCGGCAGTCAGTTTTAGTTTGTTTACAACAACCAAACACAAAATGTTGCTTTCTTTAGCCCCCGCCCCTCACCCGGCCCAGGAAGAGGCTAAATCTGCTACCACAACAGCTTACAACTCCATGCTGCCGTTTCCATTTTGAAATATATCTTCTCCAGATATAGAAAGAAAGTCCGACTCGCAGTTCTTCATTTGGGAAAACTCAATAGTCACCGTTTCCACTTCGGGGAATATGTCCTCGCTAGGGACATATTAGATGAATCCGGCTTATTTGAATTGGAGTCTTAAGCATGGTTTCTCCAGGTATAGGAGTATCTCCATATTATATGTAAGACCCTTCCTTACACTCTGCACGTCCTGTCGATATATGTGATATATTATTCACCTTGTAAAACACGTATATATATATATATATATATATATATATATATATATATAGTTTTATGTATGGCTTAGTAGTATAAAAGTGTCTCATTTCTTTGTCATTCTTTTTCCTTAGGCCATCACGTTCCGTCTGTGAATTACAATGTTATTATATTATGGATGTAATAATGTCCATAATGGGGGAAATTCAAATGGGAGAATAAATCTTTCTTCCATCGCTCTTGTTGGGTAATCAATCGTGGATATGGAGATATAAAGAAGTTCTTAAGACAAAGGTGCAATATTTCGCGACAAATACATGCAGCAATAGAAACTAAATAAAGATTGACACATAAAAAATAACAGATGCCGCTACCGATTAGAAAGACATGAATTGGTAAATCACATCATAGAGGAGACATCAAGCTGTTCTTGAAATACAACAACAGAAACGGCGACAAGTTGACGTTAGTGGAACACCGCAAACTCGGCAAATGGCAAAGATTCGGCCATCGAGACAACTGTTATCAGTACCAACCAGAAATTATGTTAGAAAAAAATATCACAAAATACTTGTTTGTTTTCGAAAATAAAAATGAACGAATCTGATAATTTTGAATTAGGCTAAAAAAAGAATCTGGCATATCTTTGAAATGTCTGCGACCGGTGGACTACGGAAGAAAAAAAAAACAAAAACGCTCATTTAGAGAAGTGTCAGGATCTTGCCCTGGAACCGAGAAAGTTATTGGGTACGGTGGTTAGACATCGTACCCAGAATAGTGCGTTTGTAACCGTGGCAAAAGACGAACCTTGAAATTGCACAGTCGTCGGTGTTGCCGAGGCAAACAAAGGTAATAATAAAGTCGCTGGAGATACTTCTGGTGGAAAGATATACATTCAGGAATAATAATAATAATAATAATAATAAACAAAATGGTTGACTAAACTCTTCCAATATTTTTCAACAGTTAAGAGAAGAGCGCGATTTATAAGTAAAAGAAAAGAAAAAAAACACAGTATTTGACAATGTTAAACAATATTTCAACAGAATGTCTTATTCAAGTTGGATTTAAAGAAGTAAAAGTGCTATTTAGCTGCCCCACCACAAGGGTTACACATGGCACAAGGCCGGGTTTAACGTGGGATTTACGAGCCCGTAGGCTCGGCCAAAAACATTCCCTCTTTGAACCCGCATAAACGGGTTCAGGGACAGTCAACCACCCCGAACGAGACTCTGCCCTTCGGCGGAGCCTCGACCGGGTTCCTCTCCGCCCGAATGCAGAGAGTTAGACTGTTACTTAGCCCGGAGGAACGCGTCAAAACGAATGAAACGCCGGCCGCGTGAAGTCACGCCGCTGAAACCTGCTTAATAGGATGATGATCTTGTTCATTTTGGAATTTTCCGTTAGCAGATGATTTACCAAGGGGAGTTAATCAAAGAGCTTCGGATAAATCTTATGGAACTCTTCTGTCATTCTATTCATCCACACGCGGCGGGAAGTTAGTAATTTGTATACATAACTATGCGCATGCGTTTTAAGGATTCAAAGGTCGGTAGATTTTGAATATTTTTTCAGAAGGTTTACCTTAAAATACTTCTCGATATTACAATCATTTGTAATAAAATATTCTGCAAGCTCCGTTGATGTCACATTGTTACGTCTGACATCATCCTTGTGCACAGTGAATCTTTTAGTATATGTCTATATTTCTGAGATGAAGTATTAAGAGAAGAGCGATATTTAAGAAAAGAAAAAAGAAAAGGAAAAACACAGTCTTTGACAATGTTAAACAGAATGTCTGTCTGTCTTCAAGTTATATTTAAAGAATTATTTTTCAAGTATAAAAATATATAAATCTAATTTAATTTTTTGTACAAACGTTGCTTTTCTTGTAAAGAAAAAAAAACGGCTGTAATGGTAATCAACGCGTCAAAACGAATGAAACGCCGCCAGAATAAGGCATGCAACTGAAATGTGCTTAATAGGATGGTGATCTTGTTCATCTTAGAATTTTCTGTTAGTTGATTAGTTACTCAAAGGAATTAATCAAACAGCTTAGTATAGGTCTTATGGAACTCTCTTGTCATTCTCTTCGTGTGTTTCATTCGTTTTGACGCGTTGATTACCATTACAACCGTTTTTCATTACAAGACAAGCAACCCTAGCGCAGCCTATTCTATGTTCAATTTGCCCATCTCCTATGCTAATTTTACTATAAATGTCCCATATACTGAGTCAGGCATTTGCTAAATCCACTGAAAGGATCATGAGAAAGAAATCAGAGACATGCCAATTCAAACTGATAGGAAAATAAAAGCCAACTGACCTGATATTATAATAAAAGACAAGAAATTCAGGCAGTGTATGCTTACTGACGTAGCAGTACCATTTGTGAGAAACGCCGCCATAAAAATTATCATGAAATTATCCAAATACAAGTACCTGGAGATCGAGATTAACAGGATGTGGAGAATAAAGACTGAGACTGTATCAATAGTAATCGAAGCTCTGTGCCTCGTGAGAAAAGGAATGGACAATTTTATTAACAGTACCCTAGGTAACATCAACATACAAGTTGCCCAGAAAATCGCCCTACTAGGAATATCAATATACTAAGAAAAGTGCTTTTATTAATTCTCCTATAGGACATAAGGATCATACTTTTAAACCAGACGCAACAGGATACAAAGAAGGAAACATAACGTACACAAATAATAATAATAATAATGATAATAATAATGATAATAATAATAATAATAATAAATATTCAATAATAAAAAGAAGGCAGTAAATACAAACAACATTTACATTTAGTAGATTCTGTAGTAAATCAAAACAGAATCAAGAACCAATATTGCAGCAAAGATATGAAAAAGAAAGCCAAGGATAAAGCCCTTGAACAGATGAAACAACGCTGGCAAGACAAATGCATGGCCAATATCCAGAATGCAAATAAACCCAATGTTGATAAAGTTAATACTCATCGATGGTTACGAGCATCTGGATTAAAGTCTGAAACTGAAGGCTTTTTATTCTTGCAACGCAAGACCAGAGTCTTTTCACTAGGAATTTTCAGGCAAATATCATACATAATAATGTGGATCCAAAATGCAGGTTCTGTGACAAATACCAAGAAACAATAGACCATCTAATCAGGATGTTCTATACTTGCCCTAAAAATGAATATAAAATCGTCACGATAGAACTTACACTGACAATGTGCAAACACTTTGGAAAATGTGTAAGCAAACAGGAACATCAAGCGCCGGTTACAGAAATAGAAGATGTCACCATTCTATGGGATTATACCATCCACACAGACAGAAAAATTGAAGCAAATAGGCCGGACATTATTGTCAAAAACCAGAAAGAAAAAACTTGCCTACTAATTGATATGGCTTAATAGCAATAAGGAATTTGAAAAACTATCAAAATACAAAGACCTGGAAATTGAAATAGAAAAATGTGGAAATTGAAAACAAGAATAATACCAGTGGTAATAGGTGAAGGAATTATAAAAAATGGAACAAAACAACACATTGAAAGAATCCCTGAAACCCCAGCTTAAGAGACATACAGAAATTGTCTTATTAAGTACAGCACACACTAAGGAGAACTTTGTCTATGTAACGCTAGCAACTTCATCGGAGATAAAAAAAAAAAAAAAAAAAAATTAATATGAAATGTATGGCCATAACAACACCATGATTGCCTTAGGTCTTTCCGCAGACTTGGTAGGTAGTGTGTCCATAGCAGAAATCGAATGATGATGATAACAATAATAATAATTAATAATAATAATAATAATGTTCGAACATTTTAATGATATGTTACTTCAGTATTTTTTTGTTTTTTATAATCTGTAAATAATCAAGCATTCTTGAGAAAAATGGTGAATTGGTTTACCGTTGCATTTTCCACTGTTTTCTACTTTTCATATACTGGTTCCTCAAGGCGGTGTAATGGTTAACAAGCTTGGTTCGCTAGAACAATTACAACTGAGTAGTGAGTTCGATCCTCACTGGGTGCCCCCTAATTTCGGCCTTGTGTCACATCTAAGCTACGCTTGGAAAATCACTATACTGGTTACCACCCAAAGCTTGAGAACCCCGTCTACTGTGCTATTTAACCCATAGCTAGGCTGAGGAGTTGAGACGTTTCACGACATTCCGCTGAAATTCAGTTCGTCACCATTTACGATTTTAGCTTAAGCTTTTATGTTAATGGTACTAATGCCATAAAAATAATTGGTTGAAACACTGCAACCAGAGAAATATGGCGGTCAGATTCTTTGATAAGGCAAAAAACAAAAAAGAAGGCAATAGAATAGAAAAATGCTTCCTTTCGACTCAAAGACATATGCCCGACGATAATTTACTGTTGGGAAATGTATAGACCCGCCAATTTTTACCTTTCGACTCAAGGGTAATTATCTGATGATAATTTACTATTCTGAAATGCATAGACCCAGCCAATGTTTACCTTTCTTCACAGAGGCATAAAATTCAACTACAATTTACTGTTGAGATATACACATTCATGTTTATCTTTTGACCTAATGTATAAATCCAACGATAATTGGGAAATGCACAGACCCACACAATGTTTACCTTCTGACTCAAGTCTGTTGATACGAATTGTGTTTAAATTTTGAATCAAGTCTATGAACACATTGAATATTTATATTTTTAGAAATATATAGAATCGGCCAATGTTTTCTTTTTCAATTAAATACTCTATATCGATTCGACTTATTTTTTTCCTGTCGATTGAAATACATAAATCCCCACAATATTTCCCTTTGTAGTCAATTATACACTAAGCAAATGTTTACTGTTTTGATTCATATGTTTAAGCGCGGGCGATAATCTCTTATTGAGAAAATTAAATTTTTGATCCTTTGTATACTGTCACTCCATATTTAACGTTTGAGCAATATAAAAAAAAAAATCGAGTAAAATTTACTTTTTCATCCAAGGGTGTAGACCCGATCAATGGTTATCTTGAGAGCCAAAAATATATCAGACCAATGTTTAGTATTTGACTCATGGGCTCACCCGATAAATATTTCTATTTCTTTTTTTTAATCATTTAACAGCAAACAAGTCAATAGAGCAACTAGGATGTAAGAGGTTACTGAGTGTTAGAAAATATGAGAGAAAAAAAACGACTATTAAGGATGAAGGACATGAAAAGAACAAACATTAAGAAGACAGAAGATAACGATTGACATTGCATTTAAATTTTTGAAGAGGAAAGTTAACTGAAAAGCAAGAAGCAGGAAGACAGTTCCACAAGTGTGAGAAAAGAAGCTGTTAGCATTTTCTTTACATCTAGCCATACTAATTGTAAAATAGTGACACCTATCTTCCAACCAAGCACTTCAAGAACAAACCCGACTAATGCATACTCTTTGCGCTAGTTGCAACTATTAAGTAATTGTCGTATAAAATTTATATTCGACATTAAATAAAACAAAGAAGGTTGAAATATTGAATTAAGCAATATATATATTAAGAAATGGACAAAGTCCGACAATTTATTTATTAAAGACATTTTTATGTTTTACGTTCTTTTTACAGATACAAGTATAAAAAAAGTGATAAAAATTTTTGTGGATTTAGTGCAATCATATATATTATTTCAACGAGTCTAGGAGAATCCTTAACAGAATGCAGAAAGTACTGGACGGCCATTTCGTCCTATTTGGGACTCATCAGCAGTGCGCATCATTACCGAGAATCGAACCCGGACCGTTTCGATACAACGCAAGAAACATACCAACTGTATCAACGGGCCTCGTTGACGAAGAAAATGACTGTGATGATACTCCTCAAATTATTCGAAATTCACGGCTTGTGCCGCAAGAGCCACATCGTCTTTTTTTCTTTCTTAGCTCCTCCTCATGATATATATATATATATATATATATATATATATATATATATATGTATGTGTGTGTGTGTGTGTGTGTGTGTGTGTGTGTGTGTGTGTGTGTGTCCGTGTGTGTGTGATTAGAGTTTGAATGAGCGACAGGAGCCGAATGAAAGGCAATATAGAAAAAAAAAACACAATACAAAGAGAGAGAACGAGTGAAGAGAAAGAAATGAAAAGTAAACAATCACCATATAGGGAAAAGATACTTACATTCGATTTTTTTTTTTAAATCAATTACTTTTTCGTCAGCGTTAAATTAATTACTATAATCACTCTTCGGAAACTTTTCTGGCGAACATAGCATTTCAGTCTCCAGACGACCTTTCCTAAACTCCGACCACGGCCAACCAATTATTTTCAAAGACGACTTCAAGCTCTGTTTATCATTTAATCGCTTTTTTTCGTTGTTTTACTTTTCTTTTTTCGCTACAAACTCGTTTGTTCTCTTTCTACATACGTTTCATATTGTGTCTAAATTTCCCGCAGTTTTTCGTGTTTCACTCTTACAACAGTTATCTCCCTTTGTTTTGCTGTCTCGGCTCCATTGTTATTTTTGTATCTGTAATTTCTTTCTCCTAAATTTACAACGTTTTAATATTTTGTCTTCTATTTTTTTCTTTCTTTCTCCCATTTTTATCCTCTATTTCTTTACTTTTATCCGTCCTTTCAATTATTATTCCATTCTTTATATTTTTATCCTCTTGATTCCTTTTCTTTCCTCTTCCTATTTATTTACTTTTTTCTCCTTTATTTCCGTTGCATCTTTCTATGATTATTTCCTTCTTTCTTTTTTTTTTCTTTCTTTCTTTCTTTCTTTCTTTTCGTTTTGTTATTTTTTTCTTTAGTTGTTATTTCTTCTTTTCTTTAGTCTTGTCTTTTTTTCTTTCTTTTTTTTTTCTTTCTTTTTTCTTTTTTTCAGATTTTTCTTTCTTTCTTTTCGTTTTTTTTTCTTTCTTTCTTTTTTTTTCGCAGATTTTTCTTTGTTTATTTCCCTTTTTTCTTTATCGTTTATTTCCTGTTTATTTTCCTTTTTTCCTTTTCTTTTTTTTTTTTTCTTTCTTTTCCTTTTCGTTTTGTTTATTTCCTTCTTTAGTTTTCCATTTATCTGTTTATTTCTTTTTTTCTTTCTTTATTCTTTCTTTCTTTCTTTCTTTCTTTTCTTTCTTTCTTTCTTTCTTTCAGATTTTTTTTTTATTACCACTTGGCTTTATTCTTTCTTTTTTTTTTCTTTCTTTCCTTTTTGTTTATTTCTTTTCTTTATCTGTTTATTTCTTTGTTTCCTTTCTTCTTTTTTTTCTTTCTTTTTCTTTCTTTCTTTTATTTTTCTTTATTTTGATTATTTCAATTTCGTTCTTTCTTTGTTTGGTTATTTCCTTTTTGTCTTTCTTGAATTATTTCTCTTTCTTTCTTTCTTTTCTTTCTTTCTTTCTTTCTTTCTTTCTTTCTTTCTTTCATGTTGTTTTTCTTAGTCCTGTCCATTTCTTTCTTTCTTTCTTTCTTTCTTTTATTGTCACGGTTTTTTCTTTATTTACTTCTTCCGTCGTGTTCATTTGTCTAATTCTTTCCTTCTTTCTTTCCTTCTTTGTTTATTTCCCTTTTCCTTTATCTGTTTATTTCTTTCTTTCTTTGTTTCTTTGTTTGTTTCTTTCTTCGTCTCTGTTTTGTTTTTATTTCCTTTTTTAGTCCTGTCTATTTATTTATTTATTTTTTATATTTTTCTTTAGTTATTTCCCTTTTTCCTTTATCTAGTTATTTCTCTTTCTTTCTTTCGTTCTTTCTTTCTTTCTTTCGTTCTTTCTTTCTTTCTTTTTTGTCGCAGTGTTTTCTTTATTTACTTCTTTCGTCCTATCTATTTCTTTCTTTCTTTCTTTCTTTGTCGTTGTTTTTTCTTTATTTCTTTCTTTTGTCTTTTTCATTCCTTTCTTTCTTTCTTTTTTTCTTTCTTTCTTTGATTTGTTCACTTTCCTTCTTTATTTCTTGGGTTATTTCCCTCTTCCTTTAGCTTTTTCTCTCTCTTTCTTTCTTTCTTTCTTTCTTTTTTTTTGTCGCAGTTTTTTTATTTTCTTCTTCCGTCTCGTTCCTTTCTCTAATTCTTTCCTCCTTTCTTTCCTTCTTTGTTTATTTCCCTTTTTCTTTATCTGTTTATTTCGCTTCTTCCTTTCTACTTTCTTTCTTTCTTTCTTTCTTTTATTACCACTTGGCTTTTTACCATTTATTTCCATTAATTCCTTCTTTTTCTTTCTCCTGCAGTTTTGCACTTATTTCTATCGCACCATCGCCATGATTCAATGAATTTACACACGGCTTAATTATTCCAGTCAGTGACTTTTTTCTGTTGCGCTATCAATTAATATAATCAACGCCTACACACAGAGACACACATACACACACAGGCACACACACGCGTAGCCCCCAACCTTTATATATGTGTGTCTGTGTGTATCCATTTCATAATACGATTCTGCAGACTATTTAAATTTATAGACAACGACCATTTTCATATCAATAAATTCGTCCTATTACGCCAGTTCAAATAAATGCTTTGGAAGTTAACCCCTATCATTAGTGAAAAGAGCAATAACAGCTACTGGACTGGATATTTATTTGTTTAAGAGCATAGCAACTCCTTATGTGTCATTTAGTGTCGAAATGTTATTATCTTGTGAGCTTTGGAATTTTTTTCCAAAATATGTATTTCTGTATTTTTCCAACAATATATTGCTGGTAACATTTTTGGTTTATATTTACTATGAAAACGTTTTGCTGGTAATTTTTTTCTAATGTATTTTTTTTTATTTTCGTGCATTGACCACAGCTTAGGGATTCACTATTTGACCATAGCTGGGGCCCTAACAGGTGCTACCACCCGGAACCGTGTGGTGGCATCCGTGAACAACAGCAATTAACAGGTGATACTACGTTCTTCAAAATCACCCGATCAGAGTCCTTGCTACCGGATGTAGTTTATCGTCATACTCAGGACAGACCTAAACAGTTTCATTTGAAAGCTGCATTGGCTGCTGGTCAAAGATTGTCAAATGTTTCCTTAAACTAAAACGGGTAATATTAACATTATGTGGTTATAGGATATTAAAGTATTCTTTATTTTAACCTTTCATGCGTCTAAACTGGACTTCATGGAAAATAAACTATATATATAAATATATATATATATATATATATATATATATATATATATATATATATATATATATATATATACTTTTGTATCGAGCACTATTTTTTAAAAATAATAAAAAAATACTAAAGAACTTTTGGATTATTTACCTAACGAGTTCTTTCCTATTTTCTATATATTTTTTACACACACACACACACATATACATATATATATATATATATATATATATATATATATATATATATATATATATATATATATGCATATATGCAAGGATTGAGTGACTGATTTGGTTCTTTTCACGACTTCATATACCAACGGATTTCTTATTATTACTATATATATATATATATATATATATATATATATATATATAGATAGATAGATAGATAGATAGATAGATATAATCGGTACCACCCAATGCAAAGCAGTACAGACACTAAAAAACAAAAGGGGGTTACATTGTGTGGAAGAATTAGGAACAGAAACATTAATAATGAGCGGAAAGACAAAAGATTAATGAGATAGGTGGATAGCGATTGACATTGCATTTAAATTCTTGTAGATTACAGTTGGCTGGAAACAATGGAGCCGGAAGGGAATACCACAAGCGAGAGAAGAAACTCTTAGCTTGAAGCTTACATCTACATCTAGCCAGCTCAACTGCAAATTGATGAGATCTCAACGCTAACCTAGTACTGCGTTTAAATCCCAAATCTCGAAAAGCTTATCCGAACAATTGCTATGAATGCGTACAAATAAAAAGGTACAGAGAAGCAACCTTATGGCGGTGCAAATGAGACTGAAGCCGAGCTGACAGTTCAAGGCTAATAATATTGCTGATTCTTTTTGGGATTTTATCAAGGAGGTCAAAGTAAATAGCAGGGTCAATGGACCATATGTGGCAGCAATATTCTAAGGATATACGAATGGTATACTGATAGATATGTAAGATAGACTCTGAAGAGAAAAAATTGCCTGAAACGACACAGTGAAACCTGACGTAGAAATAGATTCAATAAAGTCTTTCCACTGTATGTCAGCTGAGAACGTTAGCTAGAGAAGTCGAACCAAATCACTTTCCTGGATATATATCTATATAGAAATAGAGATTATATATAATAACTGGCTATTCGTATTCGAGGATACTCGTTACTAGGGAGCCGAGCCAATCCCTAATGCAGCCGTTTGCTCAGTCACATTTTGTGTTTGTTCAACACCCGCACAGCCCAGCTCTGGTTTATACGATGTTTAGCGTGATCAACAATTTGAACAAGGATGCTCTCACGCTTTCACCCACGATGACTTGTGACTTCGTGCTAGCACAGCTATCGACGGTCCTCAAGTGTTATGTCTACCCAATTTTACTCACAAGGCTTGGGTCAACCAGGCACTTTCCAAACCTGGCGAACGCTGGGAGGGATCGTCCCCGTCCAGACCGACAAAATCAGGAAGTGCCCTTGCTGACAAATCAACCGTGGAAAGATTCAAACCCGGCTCTCAAATCCAGAAAGCGAACGTTCTAACCACGCCGAGAGTTATATATATATATATATATATATATATATATATATATATATATATATATAATCGACTCTCCCATTGACATTCGACGTATGAGGGTCAAGGAGATCAGTTTCCAAGAAACCGACAGCCCGACTCCGGCACATGAGATTTGATTATAGTGGTGAAGGCCTCGTGCAGGACCATCCACACTTTTTGAAGGGCCGAATACAGAGACCTGGTGCACTGAATGCCACAAGGTTCCAAAGGACCCTCCACGGGTTTTGAATTCAGAGTTGTCCTTCTCCTAGACCAGTTGCCATCCAAGGCTATAGAACCCAGTCTGTCCTGCTATTTTACCCATAGCTGGAGGAAGAGAAAGACGATTCATACTTTTCCCAAGGGCATTAGCACGTAAGTGAATGTAATGGATTCGACTGAATTCGAACTCCGCTCTGCGATTCCTCAATTCTAGCCGCTATCCATTACTCCACCGTGCCTCCTCCTCCTCTCTCTCTCTCTCTCTCTCTCTCTTTATATATATATATATATATATATATATATATATATATATATATATATATATATATATATATATATATATATCGATGACTTTTCATATATGTCTATGTATCGATACTAGTTCATATATATTTATCTATCGATGTAGAAAAAACATCTGCAACACATAATTCGGAATACATATATATATATATATATATATATATATATATATATACACAAAGAAATAATCACACATAGAATCAATCAGTAATATTAATGGTATTATTGGCGACATCCATCGCTAGTAGTGTATAATGTATGCATTAAAATACTGTTAATCCATAGAGTGATGTGATCTTCATCTATAAATCTGTTGTCTGTTGTTTCCAGTTTATATTATTTTAAATGCAAGTACTTTCGAATAATCCTTTATTCATCGTCAGGCATATCTTTTCCTTATAAAATCAAAAACTTGGAGACGAAATAATTGTTTGTCGACCGAAAGATGTTTTTTTTTTTTTTTGAGTATGTGCTATTACTGATGGTTGTGTAGAATATCGGAACGTGCAAAGACGCAACGCTAAGTTTTTCAAAATTTTAAGTGAGAATTTTATTTGAACTTTTCTTGTGATGTCGTAAATCAACGTATTCTATTTTACAAGTGTTTACAGTTAATATGTCATGAACTAAGTATATAGTTCAATTAATATAGTGTTATGTCTTAGTAGTAGTTTTTTTTTTAATAGGAATTTTTTTGTACTGCGGATAGATAGATTTTTATAAACATAAAACATTAGGCAGCATATAATTTATATACAAAGAAATAATTACATTAATAATTAATTGAACTATATACTTAGTTCATGACATATTAACTGTAAAACTTGTAAAATAGAATACTTGATTTACCACATCACAAGAAAATTCAAATAAAATTCTCACTTAAAATTTGAAAACTTAGCGTTGCGTCTTTGCACGTTCATTCTACAACCGTGTGATTATTTTTTGTTCAGTTTTTTATAAATTATATGCCTGCAGACATGTGAGGATCACATCATTCTATTTTGTTTTATATATATATATATATATATATATTGTGTGATTATTTATTTGTATATAAATTATGTGTGTGTGTGTGTGTGTGTGTGTGTGTGTGTGTGTGTAGGAATTGGTAGGTTCAGAACTCTAGTATATATTAGTTAATATACATAACATCCAACACCGATAGCATGACTGGGATTTTTTTTGCAGTTTATGCAATCTGCAAGTGAAAATATGTTCTTACCGAAAAATAGTTCGCATTTACGTGGTGATGATTCAAAATTGTGTGTTAAAACTTGATTATTTAAGTATTGTTGCCTAAAATATTAGAAGTAACTAATAATAATTTATATAATTCAAATTTTTAAGTTCGAAAGGCGACCAAATAAAAATTAAAGTTGAATAATATGTATATTCACTAATATATATTTACGCCTGAGGTGGTGCAAGATTCGTCTACGAAACTCTGGAGTCGGAATGCGGAAGGTAACAACAATCAGCGAAGTGAAAACCTTTTATATTTATACTAATTATAATTATCTAACAGTGCTGATATATATATATATATATATATATATATATATATATATATATAACACAAAAATAAAATGACTTGAAAATTCAAAACATGAGGAAACATTAACAACACCAAAAGCAAAACCTATGACCATGACTTACGCGGGACTTTTTTGCCAAGAAAATATTTTCCAGATCCGACAATCTCCATATTCCACAGATCAACCACCCCCACTTAACTCAAAACTTAAATCCCACTTGAAAAGAAGATTTTAAGACGTCGAAGAAATCAAATCTATCCCCAAAATGGAGTTCCAGGAATGCTTCCATCATTGGAAACAACG